AACATTGACATAAAACACAGGTGCATTCATATTAAGGTACGTATTCATGTTTAATGATGAAAAATGTTATTTCTGGATATCCTAGGAGAAGCAAATGAAGCCTTGCGATTGCGAACCCATGATGCGGAGCACTTCAAAATTTGTTTTAAATTTTTTTCTTGACAGATCTAGCATTTTACTATCGATGTTTCCTTTCATTATTAAACTTAATATTTGGATTTTTGGAATTTTAGATAGTATTACGATATCTTAGGTGATCTGATTTTCACTTTTAATAATTATGCGATTAGATTTTTTATTCATCTTTAAGATTTAATAGATGTTATTTCCTCTTTTAGGAGTTATCATATAGGAGATTTTGTAATTAGTTGATTGCCGTTTTCTAGCATTTATTCGTTTTGTTTTCGTGCGTCATATAACTTATCCTTTGAGTTTGTGTGTGTGCGACATTGAAAGTGTTGTGAGTGTTTGCTTGTGTTTCTGGATTGACAAACTCGGGTTTACTTATTCCTTACAGCGTCAATTTAAGACCTCCTACCCAGATACTATTTAAAATTTTGTGGGACACAATACTAGTAGTTCTTAAAATTTAAGATAAAAGAATGCTTACTATCGAAAAATTTGGAATATATTAACTTACGTATGAGCTAAGAGACCAACTCAAATTCTAAAATTAGATGCAGGAGTTAAAAAGAAAAAGGAATTACTTATGGTTCTTTTCGATTTCTGAATAATAATTTCTTGTCTTGATAATTAGATTGACTAAATAAATTTTACACCATGTGGTGAAACTCTGATCCATTTAAAATATCAATTAAGAGTCTAAGGGTGCCTATTGTTTGATTTTTGGGGAAAGTTTTTGGGAAAATGCAAAGTACTTCAGGTTAAAGAGGTTTTTTAAAGTTGAAATAGTATTTGGTAAATTGTAATTTAAAAGTGCATTGAAAACAACTTTGTTTAGATAGTATTTGGAAAAATTACACTTTGTAAAGGATTTTTGTTTTTATTTAAAAAAACTCAAAACAGACAGAGAGCGTAGTGGCTAACGAACCGACGGTGAGCCAAATTTGGGAAGTTTTGGCACTAGAATGCCCTTAGCTAAGGTTGCACGACCCAGGACTAGGCGATAGTTGCTTGGGTCATGCAACCTCAGGCCACCTTTCCTGAGGTTGTCCAAGTTCAAGTGAGGTTGCCGACACTAAATCTAGCCTCATCGACAACTTTGCATAATTATGAAAGTTTAGCAAAGAAAAAGTTATAAAAAAATGTATTGGCATTCTAGAAATGCTCAAAGGCTAAAGCACTTCTAGACCTAATTTGGACTAAAGGCCTTTAGAGACCTTTGGAAATGCAATTATATCTCCTCAAAACTTTCCAAAAAAATTGTCAAACACCATTTGCTTTAGGCTAATGGCCTTTAAAGAGTTTGTTGTTGCGTTGCCAAACGCAACTCAAATTGGTTCAATCTGTAAAATAGAGACATCAACATTTCGATCGAACAAAATAAAGATTGGACTTACTAATAATAAGAAAAAAAAAGGTGTCATCACTTTCCTCAGACTAATTCTCTTAAAAAAATCCAAACTTTAAGTTGAATCTCAATTCTACTCGAACTTTTTTCCCGACTTTCACCATAGTCCCAATCTGCTCATGTGTCAAAAAATCGCCACTATTTTTTTCTAACATTATTAATATCAGGGCCAGTTAAAGGTTCATTATCAGTGCCCATGTCTTTATCAACACCCTCACTATTTTTATGGAACAACAACCTCTTGATGTTAATAGTTTTGAAGAAACCAGTGATGATTTTGAAAAGAGTGGGTAGTTTTTGGAACTAGAGCGAAAATTGAGGTTCTTTTTAGATTAAAAAAAAAAATTTGAGGGCAGAATTGAAATTGAATCCAAAGTTCGAGATCTTTTACGCAATTTGCTCCTCTTTCCTCGGCCACCACCAATGGGAGGTCCACCGCCTCTCTCCAGACTCTTCCAAGAGTCATATCCACCACTTGGGTGGATGACATGATATATGTGCTCCCTGACGTCACCCCACCAAAAGAAATAAAATACAATAAAACTTGTGCATCTTCTTATTATTATTGAGTGTGGTCGGTCAAATGGGTTCGTAATTTTAATGTCTCTATTTTCTCCTCTTTATACCCCACTTTGGAGTAGCTCATTGGCTGGCTCATATTCTATAGCTCCCTCTTATCACAAGATTCTTCAATCTCTCTCTATATATACACAAACCCATTGATCAACTTTGATGAGTATTGAGTGCTACAACTTTGTTCAAGATCAGCAGTGAGATCAGAAGCAAATTCAAAAGCAACTTTGTTAGGTAATTTGATTTCCCTTCGATAATTTTCTATTCCCCTTCGTTTCTATGCGATCTTACGTGTGTTTCGAGTTTTCTCTCTCTTTGATGAATCCAATGCTGTTACTTAAGTTTGCTATTACTCGAGAATGCGGTGATCCATCACCCCGAAAACGTTGAACTAATCGCTAAGAACGATAAAATATGCACTCCGTTTTGTTCTTGATCTCACGTTAGAATGATTGATGTCATCATATGCGTAAGATCTTGTTATATGGTCGTCAAGCTTAGTTCTACACAAATGATATGTTGAGATAAAATAAGAAGATGGAGCATCTCAAACCTTGTACATCACTATTTATTTTGTTATTATTAGATAAGTATACCACAGAATAGGTATGAAATATCTAAATATATACGGTTCCACTTAAACTAATGGATGATGAAATACTATATGCTCACTTTTTGAGAGCTGTTGGTCGTGGTGGCACTATCATTTGTCATCGACAAAGATAAAAATAATTGAAAAATATCTTAGAAAATACTCTGAAAATTCCTATACCAGCAAATCCTCAATCAAGAATAAGATGTTTAATATTCAAAGGTCTCATTAAAAGGACAGGATCCTCTCTGTTTTGGGCATTCAGCAATCATATAACTGGGTTTTTTAAAATTCATGGGGAACACATACCTAATCTCTCGATGGCTGTCGAACAAAAACAGTAAGTTTGACATGTTGATTCCAAGCCCTTTAAATTTTTCGGGTATCATGACATTGTGAATAGGAATTACGAAAAAATATAATCGGTCATGACAAATTACAACCGGGGAATCCGTCTCGAGGGATTATAGAAGTACCCTAATACGATATATGTCGATCCTCTCTCAACCTAGGGATGGATATTGGACAAGGCAAGGAAGGAGTGCGAGTCGGGCATCTCGCGGACAAGGCCCCGCCCTGTTGTAAGCAAAAATTTCGAAAATTTCTTTTTTTTTTAGCAAATTTTCTGTATCCAAGTTTTGTACAACTTTTTTACTATGATTGTTTAAATGATATTTCATATTATTTTGCTAAGGATGTTTTATTTTGTTCTTCAAAATTAACTGTTCCAATTATATCTTACAAAATAATTCTACTAATTTGAAAAAGTTAATTGATACAATATCATCAGGACACAAATGTAGGTTTACATACATTAAATTATGTAAGAAAATTATTGGCAGTCAAGTAGACTGATGGCTTTTGCACATTGAGTCTATTTTAGTGGATAGGCTTAAAATTTACTTTTAACATATGTCTTTTCATACTTGAGTAGATTATAGAAAGAGGTGGTTATTAAGCAATTTTCATTTTTTTCTTCTAAGATTGCTTAAATAAATTTTCAAATAATCTTTATAGTATTAGTATGAAATATTGTGAAGTTCAATGGAAATTTGTGGACGTACTAACAGTTATATATACTTAACTATGAAAAATCATAATTTTAACAAGATAACTTTGATATAATGAGTTATATTGTTAATTTAAATTTTGATATATTATTTGTGGTTAGCATATATAATAAATTAAAAAAGTATACTAAGATGCTTCTAGAATCATCTATGTTTATTATCTCCGATTACCGTATATATTAAATTATCTAAACACACAGTATTCCCTTTTGTTAAAACAAAAAATACACAGGGTCAAGAGAACCTGTTACCGGCCCCGCCCTGCCCCTCTAGAATCCCCGTCACCTGATTCTTGATTCTTGCGGGGAAAATCCACTCCGTGCAAGTCGGGGCCCAACGAGGAGGCGGAGCCCCGCCTCCTCGTGCCCATCCCTAGCTCGACCCTACCCACCCACTAGACTCGATTACGTGTCTGATGACCAGTGGGCCAAACTTTTGGGCCTAGTCGATTTTGGGGAGGGCTTGGGCAGGAGTTTTCAAGCCCAAGTCAAGTCCCGACCCGACCCACCCATGACATGATTTTATTATATGTATCATCAATTTAATGTAAAACTTACCATAAGTAATCTTATATATATTCAATTTTTTTTAGTTTGTATAACGAAAATGCTAGAAAAATAAAAATGCAAACTTTACCGTTTTCTCTTCCAAACCCCATCAATCCTACCCAGCCCCAGAACCATTCAAGGCTCTCCCTCAGTTCTTCTCTACCGAACTCAGCTCCTGGTCGGTCAACGTGGTAGGCGAGCTAGAAATATGAAACGCATCAAATAAATCAAAGCTGACGACGTCGCTCGAAACCAGTCAATCGACATAACACGAATTATCAAATAATTAAATGCGAAAAAAAATCGAATACATGAATGGAACATACCTTTTCGTCCGTAGAAAAATTAGTTGGCATGACGCGGCATTTAATAATTATGGATTAGTGGGCAAAAGCAAAAAGACCAAGTGATTCACAACCCATTCTACGCATTCTCTAGATGAAATTTTTTTTATGAGTTTTTAACAGGTTCCAATTCGATAATCCCTTCTAGAGAGAGAGAGAGAGAGAGAGAGAGACGTTTTCCTCTTGCATACATGTCTCCAATTCGATGAACATCTTAAAATAATCACAAGAGTTTTCTTCTTACACGCCATTCTCTCATACCACGCCTGTTAGATTACGTTAGGTAACTTCATATAGCAGCGTCTGTTCTACATCCTGCGTATATTTTAGTCATTTTGCGAGGAGAATACTTGGCCGATATGTCAACCACGGGAATCACAATTGCAGCTTCTTCACTGTTTCCGCGAAAGGGCCGTCGTTTAAAACTTGCCCGTTGTCGAAGACTTTAGTCCTTGCGTCATCCACGGACGAACGCAGCTTACATCATCATGGCTTTGTTATATATGAACCCTCTTTGGCTAAGACGCACAGACCCCCCCTTCGCCATTTCAAATACCCCCCCCATTCTGTCATTTCACATTCTCAGCTAACATCTCTCTCGGTCTCGCTCCCGTGCACGCACACATGTTCATCGGTCTCTCTTCCAGGCTGAGATCCAGGTTTCCGATCCTCGTAAGATCGACGACGCCCAGTTTCCTTCCGCTTTCGCTGTGTAAAATCGTGTGATGTAGCCAAACTATTCACTTTGCTATGATTCTGCATCAGTTATGAATGTTTGTCGCTCCGGTTTCGTGTCTGTCAATGCGGAAACTCGTTTCGAGCGACTAAACTGTAGTAGTTATAACGCCGGTTTCTTAAATATCGAGATTAAATTGACATTTGAAGACGCAGAAATAGGAGGATGTATCTATACTTGTGCCTTTTGCATTTCTTCAACTGAATATGATGTTGTATATTTTTGGTAATAGGATCAAACTCACATGATAAGAGCCATGGCGCATCGGATACAGGAGCTACTAGTCCTAGTGGTCTTGGCCATCTTTCCCAGAGCAACATTCAGCAAGCTGAGCTGCCACTTGAGGGCGAGCGACGCGCCACTGGCAGCAGAAGGCGGCAATGGCTACTGCTTGAGCTGGAGGCTCGCGGTGGAGGCGAACAATTTGCGCGCCTGGCGCACAGTCCCTCCCCAGTGCCAGCGGCATGTCGAGTCCTACATGACCGGGGGGCAGTACGACCGGGACCTCAACCTGATCGTCGACCAGGTCATGGCTTATGCCGATGGGATTGATGTGTCTGACGACGGCATGGACGCTTGGATCTTGGACATTGATGATACATGCATTTCCAACATGCTTTACTACAAGGGAAAGAGATATGGGTATAGTATATATACATATAGATATTGCTCTTGAAGGTTGTTTTAGGGTAAATGTGAATTACGCGATACACTTTCTCCTATTGTAGATGCGACCCGTTCGATGCGGCGACGTTTAAGGCTTGGGCGATGCGAGGAGAGTGCCCGGCAGTACCGGCGGTGCTGGGGCTGTTCCAGAGGCTGGTTGATGATGGATTCAAGGTCATCTTGCTCACGGGCAGAGACCAAGAGACTTTTGGAGCTGCCACTGTTAACAATTTGCTTTATCAGGGATTCGATGGCTATGAACGTCTGATCATGAGGTAATTAACCCATCTCTCTCTCTCTCTCTCTCTGCACTTCTTTGCTAGGAAGTTGCAACGAGATTCAGTGGCAATGACTCTTTAGTTGCACGCACAGAATACAAATCTAATCCATATAAGCACGCGCTTGATGGGTTCTTTCGAGTCAACGCGTCGTCGGCCAATATGGATTTTCATGCCTATAAAGCCAAACATTTTCAAAGCGGGAATATGGAAAGATATTGATTGAGTTCTTGATTTCTAATAACCAAGTTTAATTAGATTATAGAGAATAATCGCCATAGCAATTTAATAATCATTGGCTATTAGGTCACATGATACAATTTTTTTTATGTTATTTTATGGCATGGGGTTTAATACTTGATAGAATTGGAAGAAAGGGTGTTGCTTTGTTTCTGGTTTAGGGCACAAAGCAATTTGGGTTAATTGCTCAATCGGGTCCTCTTTATTCTATGCAACTTTAGTTGTCCTACTCTTTTTTTTCCATTGTTTATTTTATAATTCCATGTTGGTGCATGATGAAAAAAAAGAATCTGCAAAATCATATTTCTCAGGCTTAATAATATGTTTTATGGAAAAAAAAAACATTTGACGCTTTAATTAGAAATAGGGGCATGTAAACAGTGAGAGTCTTGCTTGGCAAAGCAATGATAAGTGGTGGGCTACACATTGGATAGTTTCATCTATTATCTATAGTTTCAATCCATGATTCTCATGGTAGCCACATCACTCTTTTCTTTTTTATAGTAAGTAGTTTTCTTTATTAAAAAATATGACAGTTGACATGCTAACATGACACGCTTATTTTTTATGAAGGCATTTGTTTGTATGTTTGTCCTCAAAATGTACAATTAACAATAGCAATTGATCGGTTAGCGGCCCGATGTGGATACCTCTAACGGTTTAAATCGTAGATATGCATGCTCTCTTTTTTGTCCAATCCGAAGCAATTTGATGTCTTGAAATTTGGAGGCTCTAAGTAATCAGAAACATAAAAAAAAAATTTGTGTGCTCTTTAGAGTGTCACGTCACCCCTCCACCCAATCAATAAAAAAGTACAGAATATCATAGAGATTACTTTCTACGGAGGATTAAAATAGTGAAATTTAGTGCCTCGTTAGTTGTTTGCGTATAAATAACATGGTGCCGTGGAAGTACCTATAATTCTCTTTGAAAACGACATTTCTTGAAATTAAGGAACCACGTCATCCTTTAAAACCATATCACATCCCGAATTTGATGAAATAGGGGGTGCATCCACAATATGTTGACCAACTACCATACCAATAGACTATGTCCTTGCTACTTCATTTGTGAGGTCCAATTTTACCATTAACTCATATGTCAATGAATAGTAACCGTAATGTGTCTTCTCCCATGAGTCTCACATGAGCTTACGGATGTTGTATAATATTCGATTTCTGAGCCCTGTTCATTTAAGAACATCTCCATGGTAGGAGATTTGTGTTAATCCACGTCTTCATATACGAAACTATAATTTGGATAGTCAGGTGTATTACATATAGAAATGCTGTAAGTAACCGGTGCACACTTCCTCTCATGGACATTATATGTGGTGGACCATATTGTTTTTGTGACGTGGAATACACGTAGTTTTTGACATTATAAATAGGCACTCCACGTCACTCTTATGTGGCAAACGCATGACATTATAAATTCATAAATTAGTGTCATATTGGCTGCATCCTGCATAAGTTAGGTCCTGCGTACAAATTTTTTTTTCTTTGTGACCTAACTTATTGCTTATTCCACATTGTGACTTTTTTTTTGGGTCTTTTTTTAAATGCAGGACGCAGGCTTATAAAGGGCAAAGTGCAATAACATACAAATCAGACATAAGGAGGCAATTAGCGGAAGAAGGGTACAGAATCTGGGGGAATGTCGGGGATCAATGGAGTGATCTTCAGGGTCAATTCGTGGGCAACCGAACATTTAAGATTCCCAATCCCATGTACTTTGTCCCTTGACAACATTACAAATCGATTCCCATAATTTTCTGTATTTTAATGTTGAAAAAAAAAAGACAATTGTAAATCGACCAATTGTATTTTTGAATGTCAATGAGAAAAAAAATTGGGAAAAGGAAATAAGATTGCAAAAAGTTAAGTGGAATGTGATGCATTCGAAATTTAAGATCCCTTAACCATCATTCCATTCATCGATAGTGGATTAAAACAAAAATTCCATTATATGATAGCTGCGCGTAAAAAGGTCACATCTATTCAAAAATCAAATGTTATTATTAATGTAAAATTTTGTTGAATCTTTACCAATATTCCTAAAAGTTTAAGCTATTCGATAGATGTGTTATTTAATATTTAAATATTCTAACACTTCTCTTTTCATGTAAGACTAAATTTTGGGTCAAAAACTAAAACATGAAAATACATAATAACGTCGGTGTGCATGTTGTAGGGTGAATAGAGCATTTGCCTTGCCTTGGAACCTACCCTATCTTATGAGGTCCTCAAACGCAAGTTCATCCATATTAAGGTACATGTTCATGTTTAATGATGACATAATGCAAAGATCTAACAACTTTGAAAGTAAAATAAATCGTTTTCTGATATCGTAGGAGAGGCAAATGAAACTTGAAAAGATGTGAACTCATGATGTGTAGCACTTCAAAATTTGATTTTAATTTTTTAATTTTATAAATTTAGCATTTTGTTATTGAATGTTCCTTTTCTTTATTCAACTAATTTTAGGATTCTTAAAAATTTTTGAAAGTATTACATGTCACGTGATTTGACTTTCATTTTTAATAATTATCCGATTAGGTTTTTTCTTTATCTTTATGATTTGTTTTTTTTTTCTCTTTTAGGAGTTATCTGATAGGAAATTTTGTATTTAGTGAATTGTCGTTTCACATTTACTCATATTGTTTTCGTTTGTAATATAGCTTATATTTGATGAATCAATGAAACTTGAAAGTTCATCTTTATTGAGTTCATGTGTGCTTGTGCGAAGTTGTAAATGTTGCTGGTATTTACTCGTATTTGCGGATCGACGAATTCGTGTTTACTTATACATTACAGCATCAACTCAAGATTTCCTACTTTAATATCAAGTAAAATTGACACATTACCAATAGTTCTAAAAGTTTAATATGTTAAATAAAAACGATATTTAATGTTCCCGACGTTAGAAAATGTTAACTCACCTTTGAACTAATAGACCGACTCAAATGGTAAAATGAGATCTAGGAGTTAAAGAGAAAAATGAATTATTCACTGTTCGTTTCGATTTCTGGATAATTACTTCTTGTCTTGATAATTAGATCGACTAATTAATTAGAAGATCTTCTGACCAAAAAAATAATAATTATAAGATCTAAAAAACAGAGAGGCGCCAACACTTCCCTCGGCCACCACCAATGGTAGTCCACCGCCTCTCTCCGGACTCTTCCAATAGTCGAATCCACCACTTGAGATGATGACATGATATATCTGCTTGCTGACGCAACCCCCACCAAAATAATGAAGTAATATTAAATTTGTGCATCTTCTTGTTAATTATGAGTGTGGTCGGTCAAATGGGTTCGCAATTTTAATGTTTCTTTTTCCTAATCTTGTTACCCCACTTTGGAGTAGCTCATTGGTTGGCTTACATTCTATGGTACCTTCTTATCACAAGATTCTTCAATCTCTCTATATATTGATCAACTTTGAGCATGGAGTGCTACAACTTTGTTCAAGATCAGCTGTGAGATCAGAAGCAAATTCAAAATGCCTCTATCATCATCATGTTAGGTAAATTGATTTCCCTTCGATAATCTTCTCTTCCCCTTTGTGCCCTTTCTCGTTTCTTCGTTTCTTTGTGATCTTAAGTTGTTATTAAAGTTTGCTGATATGTCACATACGTAAGATCTTGATATGGAGTCGTCACGCTTAGTTTCATTTCGAAAGGATCACTGAACGTGTCACTGTTCTACGCAAATGATAGGTTGAGATAAATTACGAAGATAGAACATCTCAAACCTTGTACATCACTAATCTCGGAAGGCAATTACTAGCAAATCATCAATCTAAAGTAAGATGTTTAAGAGCCAAAGGTTTCATTGAAAGGATAGGATCCTTTCTGTTTTGGGCAAGTAGCAATCAAATAATGGGAGCTCCAAGGATCCGTGGAAACGGATACCTAATTCCTTGATGGTTGTTAGATAAAAAAGAGAGAGTAAATTTTACGTATCGATTGTATACCCTTTAAGTTTTTGTGTCTTACGACATTTTTACAAAGTTACGAAAAATTGTAATGAGTCGCGATAAGTCATACTAGATGATCCGGCTCCAAGGGATCATAGAAGTGCCCTCGTAAATTATCTTTTATCCTCTCTCAACCTTGGGATGCACAAGACAAGGCGGGAACATGGATCTCACCTCGCGCCTTGCCCCGCGCAAGGCAGCCCGCCGTAAGTGAAAATTTACTAAATATGGTTCTTAGCATATTTTCTAAATCTCCGTTTAGACAAAATTTCAAGTAATGACTAAAAAATAAAAAATGATAATTCAGATTGTACATTTATCACTAAGACTGTTCAAATAATATTTCACAAATAGTTTGCTAAGGTTGTTTTATTTGTTCTACCAAATCTAATTTTCAAATTATAGATAGATATATGCAAACGGGACTTAGTAAATGATTTTACTAATCTGTCAATGTTAACTAACGCAACAAATCAAGAGACAAATGTAGGTTAACATACATAAAATTATGAAAGAATATTACAATTATCATTAGCAATCAAGTAGACCGATGAATTTTGCACATTGAGTCTGTTGTAAAGGATAGACATAAAATTTACTTTTGACAAAAAAAAATTTCATATGTAAGTTGATTATAAGAAAGAGGTGATTATCAAGTAGTTATAATTTTAATTTGCTAAGTTTCAGGTTATTTTGATAATATAGTTAATATGTTTCTTTCAATTTAATTGTAATAGAGAAATAAATAAATTAGCTGTAGAGATATATCAATTTCATCCTTAGGTAGCTTATGATATAATAATATATGAAATAATATAAAGTTCAATAGAAAGTTATTTACGTAATAAAAGTTACACATACTTTAATTATGAAAATTTGTAATTCTAACTGGATAACATTGATATAATGAGTTTTGTTCATAACTTACATTTTCACATATTATTTCCGATTACCTTCGATATTAAATTAACAAAATATACAATTGCCTTTATAATGATCAATATGTGAAGATATTATTTGCAATTGCCAGGCAATCTTTCTTACGAGAGAGAGAGAGAGAGAGAGAGAGAGAGAGAGAGAGAGAGAGAGAGAGAGAGAGAGAGAGAGAGAGAGAGAGAGAGAGAGAGAGAGAGAGAGAGGATGTGCACTATTCTTAAAAACTGAAAAGACAAAGATTGCAGAAGGCAACCAACGCTGTGATTTTGCAGGTGGGTTTCGTCTTATACTTAGGCAGGAACATCGAGTATCATACACACCAATAGAATGGTAGATTCTAATGTGTTTTAGCTGGTCTTCCTATGAATCTTTGTAAGAGTTTCTTTTGTTTTGGATTTTGCAAAACGATCTGTAAAGCAGTCGATATAGTTTTATCCATCGTATAATTTTGATTAGCTCAAATTATGGACTCTTTAAATTTAATGGGTCAAACTTGTGGCGCAAAAAAAAAATCTAGTGGGCTCAAGACCTTAAAGTAAAAGGAGTAAAAACAGGAAAATTATCTAAAAAGTCATAAACTTATCGTACGGAGGTCAATTCGATCTTAAACCTTTCGATTGTGCCAATTTTAGTCCTAAACTTTTTGACGATTTGTCAATTTAATCCTAAAAGTCAATGGAGCAAAAACGGGAGAATTGTCCAAAAACAAAGTGTCTCAATCTTAAGACCACTTCTACAAGAAAAGTATGTGTGGGATTTTGTTAGGAAACTTCGTCAAACAGCGTCTGTTCTAGACTCTTCCATATATTCTATTCGTTTGTGTGGAGAATACCTGGCTTCTACGTCGATCCCGCGAGCCACAGTTGCATTTTCTTCACTGTTTCTCCGAAAGGACCGTTGCTTAAAGGCCGCCCGTTGTCTTAAGACTTACGTCCCTCGCGTCATTAGCCGACGAACATTAGCCTACATAATCATCGATGTTTTCAATATCAAACCTCTTTGGCTGAGACGTATATAAACCCCCTTCGCCGTTTCAAATATCCATCCCCCCATTCTGTCATTTGACATTTTCAGCCAACCACTCTCTCTGTCTCTCTCTCTCTCTCTCTCTCTCTCTCTCTCTCGCTCGTTCTCCCGCACGCAGACATGATCATCGGTCTCTCTTCCAGGTTCAGATCCAGGTTTCCGATCCTCGTAAGATCAACGACGCCCAGTTTCCTTCCATTTTCGTCCCATAAAATTATGTGATGTGGCCGAATTATTCGCTTTGCTATAATCCCACGTCGGTTATGGATGTTTGTCGCAGCAGACACGTGTTTGTCAATGCGGAAATTTGTTTCAAACGACTAAACTGTAGTAGTTATAATGCCAATTTCTTAAATATCGAGATTAAATTGACATTCGAAGATACAGAAGTTGGAGGAAGTATTTACACTTGTATCTTCTGCACTTCTTCAACTGATTATGATGCTGTATTTGGCAATAGGATCAAACTCACATGATAAGAGCCATGGCGCGTCGGGTACAGGAGCTACTAGCCGTAGTGGTCTTGGCCATCTTTCCCAAAGCAACATTCGGCAAGCCGAGCTACCACTCGAGGGCAAGCGACGCGCCAGTGGCGGCAGAAGGCGGCAACAGATACTGCTTGAGCTGGAGACTCGCGGTGGAGGCGAACAATATGCGCGCGTGGCGCACGGTCCCACCCCAGTGCCAGCGGTACGTTGAGTCCTACATGACCGGGGGGCAGTACGACTGGGACCTCAACCTGATCGTCAACCAGATCGCGGCTTATGCCGACAGGATCTCTGTGTCTGACGACGGCATGGACGCTTGGGTCTTGGACATTGATGATACATGCATTTCCAACATGTTTTACTACAAGGGAAAGAGATATGGGTATGTATATATACATATAGATATCAGTCTCGAAGCTTGTTTCAGGGTTAATGTGAATTAGGCTATATACTCTTTTCTATCGTAGATGCGACCCGTTCGATGCGGCGGGGTTTAAGGCGTGGGCGGTGCGAGGAGAGTGCCCGGCAATACCGGCGGTGCTGGAGCTGTTCCAGAAGCTGGTTGATGATGGCTTCAAGGTCATCTTGCTCACGGGCAGAGACCAAGAAACTCTTGGACCTGTCACTGTTGACAATTTGCTTGATCAGGGATTTGATGGCTATGAGCGTCTGATTATGAGGTAATTAACCCATCTCTCTCTCTCTCTCTCTCTCTCTCTCTGTACTTCTTTTGCTAGGAAATTGCAACGAGATTCAGTGGCAATGACTCTATATTCGTACGCACAGAATACAAATGTAATTAATGTATAAGCACGCACTTAATGGGTTTCTTCGAGTCAACACGTCGTCGGCCAATTTGGATTTTCATGGCTGTAAGGTCAAACATTTTCAAAGGGGGTACAGAAAGATATTGATAGAGTTCTTGATTTCTAATGCCCAAGTTTAGTTAGATTATGGAGACTAATCGCTGTAAGAATTTAATTGTTATTTCCTCCCTATTTTGTTAGCTAATGCATCATTTGATATGAAATTTTTTTAATGTTATTTTATGGCATGGTTTCATACTTGATAGAATTGGAAGAAGGGTGTTGCTTTGTTTCTGGTTTAGAGCACAAAGCAATTTCGGTTAATTGTTTAATCGGGTTCTCTTTATTCTTTGCGACTTAACGTGTCCTACTTTTTTTTTTCATTATATACTATTTTATTCCATGTTGGTGTATGATAGGAAAAAGAATCTGCAAAATCATATTTCTTGGGCTTGCTAATAGGAAGAGTCTTGCTTGGCAAAGCAATTATAAGTGGTGGGCTCCACATTCGATAGGTTCATCTATTATCTATAGTTTTAATCCATTATTCTCATGATAGCCACATCACATTTTTTTAATAGCTAGATAGTTTTCTTTATTGAAAACATAACAGTTGATATGTTAACGCGATACCCTTTTTTTTTTTTTTTTTATCAAGGCATTTGTATACATGTTTATCTTTAAAATATACGATTTAACAATAGCAATTGATTAGTTAGTGGCACGATGTGGATACCTCTTGTGGTTTAAATCATGGATATGTATGCTCTCTTTTTTGTCCATTCCAAAGCAATTTGATGTCTTAGAATTTTCTGTGTGCTCTTTAGAGTGTTGCGTCGTCCCTCTACTCAACCAATCACAAAGTATGAAATATTATCTATATTACTTTCCTCGAATGATTAAAATAGTGAAATTTAGTGCTCTGTAATTTCTTGACCGTATGAACGATATGGTACTCTTGGAGCACCTATATATCTCTTTGAAATCAACGTGTCTTAAAATTAAGAACAAGGTATGTATGATATTCCATTGATAACACACAATAATCTTGCAAAACCTAGTTTTATTTGCTTTTTATCAGGCCACTCCAAAATCACGAACCATGTCATCCTTCGAAACCACATTACATCCTGGACTTGATGAAATAGGGGAGATACATCCACCGAATGTCGACCAATTACTATAACAATAGATTATGTCCCTCCTACCTCATTTATGAGGTCCAATTAAATCATAAACTTAGACAGTCAATGAGCAGTGAACGTAACGAGTCTCCTCCCAAGAGTCTCACATGAGCTGACGACTGTTGTATTATATTCGATTTCCGAACCCAGTCCATGTAAAAACGTTTCTGTGGTAGAAGACGTATGTTAATCCACGTCGTCCAATATGAAACTATAATATGGATAGTGGCGTGTGTTGCATATAGAAATGCTCTAATTAACTAGTGCACACTTCATCTTAAGGGCACTATATGTGGTGGACTGTTATTTTTGTGATGTAGACAACACTTAGGTTGCGTTTGGTCGACCGGATAAAAGCCAGGATAGGATATGTTTTATCCTATCCTGTGTTTGGTGATGGTCCAGGATAGGATAAGGTCGGATATAGATCGGATATAGCCCGGATAAAAAAATCCGGGGGGAGGGGGTGGGATAGACCCGGATAGGATTTCTAATGCCTATTTTTCCAGAAACCCTACACTCCACTCGCCGTCATCTTCATCCCCACACCTTGTGCGCTTTCACTAAAAAAATTTCTCGATTTTTTTTCCTTCACTGACTCCTCCGGACCCGTGAATAGCAAAAAATAAAAATAAAAATTATCCTATCCGACTTTAAATCCGTAGTCCACCAAACAGTGAACAGGATATGAAGAAATCCCAGGATTTCTTATCCTATCCTATCCAGTCCTATCCTGTTTAGAAATCCGGATGACCAAACGCAGTTAGATTCTTACATTATCAATAGGCGCTCCACATCTAGCTTATGTGGCAAATATTCATGACATGAAAAATGAGTATCATATTGGCTACATCTTGCTTGAGTTAGGTCCTGCGTTCAATTTTTTTTTTCTTGTGACCTAACTTATTGCTTATTCCACGTAGTGCTTCCCTCTATTAAAAACAAAATATAACGATCTTGATAATTTTTTTTGTTTGGTCTTTTTTTAAATGCAGGACGCAGGCTTATAAAGGGCAAAGTGCAATTGCATACAAATCAGACATAAGGAGGCAATTGGTGGAAGAAGGGTACAGAATCTGGGGGAACGTTGGGGATCAGTGGAGTGATCTTCAGGGTCAATTCGTGGGCAATCGAACTTTTAAGATTCCTAATCCCATGTACTTCGTTCCTTGAGAACATTACAAATTCGATTATTCCCATAATTTTTTTTTTTGATAACCGAGGTGTCCACGCGGCCGGCGAGCTAGGGCTCAAACCAGCGGTGATGCCCGACTAGTCCTCGAGGGGGGCTAGCGCAGCATCCCACCGCCACGACCCCCCACTTAAATCACCGATGGGCGAGTTTGAACCCAGGACCTCTCGTGAAAGGAACTGAGCGCAAACCAACGCGGCCACCGATGTGTGGGTATTATTCCCATAATTTTCTGTACTTTAATAATGAAAAAAAACAATTTTTACATCGACCAATTGTATTTTTGAATGACAATGAGAGAAAAATTGGGAAAGGGAAATAAGATTATGGAAAGTGCCATGTCCTGTTGTGTCTCATGAATCATGGTCTTTTTTTTTAAATATATTGAATAAATCGAATTTAAACTTTCTTATGGAGATAACATTGATGATGATAGATAGATGGAATGATGGATGGATAATCTACTACTATGGAGTCTTGATGACAATCACAAGTGAAAATTTAGGCAATTTGTCGTCTTTTTTCTCAAAATCTAATATACCTTTTACGATTTCTCTTTTGTATATGGTAATGACAATAAGATCGTTCTACTACTTTTGTGTGTGTGATATCCATGCACCACACGCGTATTATCCAAGTAGAAGTGACGATGGGTCAGGTAGTTCGCCGAGCCCGGGTCCGCCTATGCAAAAGGTCGACCCGAAGGGCGAAATGAGTTAGTTTGGACAAGTAATTCATTTCCGAGACTCGGCTCACCTACCTAGATTCGTTCGAGCCTATCCAAATCCGGTGTAATTATATTTTCCATTATTGACGGCCTTGAGCAAGAAATGCTTAATGGTGCGTTTGGTCCGCCCATTGATCAGGTCTAGTTCGAAAGTTCGTAGAGAGGGAGAAAGAGTAAGAAGGGGATCTGGATCCATTCAAAGCTCACGTACGTTGTCGAAACCGGAGCAAACATCGGAAGAAATTTCGTGGCGCAAACAGAAAAACTACAACGACTGAAAGTGCAAATGTCGTCGTCATCATCATCTTCTTCTTCTTCTTCTTAAACTTTCCGAGCTGTTTTCCTTCCTCATTAGCCTCGCCGTCGTGACATCGAGCCAAACAACGTCGTACTTTGTAGCCTTTTCGAAAGCAGAAATTAGACGGAGAAAGAAACGTAGGAGAAGCGAAAATGAACGACGGAGATGTGTCGAAGCAGATTCAGCAGATGATCAGATTCATCCGCCAGGAAGCAGAGGAGAAGGCCAATGAGATCTCTGTCTCCGCCGAGGAGGTTTCTTGATCACTCTCATGTCACCTGAACTATACTATGAAAATGCCTGTCTTTTTCGTTAATTATGTGCAACCGAGGCTATCGAAACGTGCCCTTTCTCCATTTGAAGCTGCATTCAATTTGCAAAGAATTCATGTCACGTCGTGGTCGATCTACACTACGGGGCGATGCGAGAGTTTTATTCAATTTTGAAGTGGATCCAAGAGGAGGAAACTGATAACCAGATGCATGATCATCCTATGAATATTTGCTCTTGCTTTTGTTCTTTGTTTTGTTCGATCAAAGAGTTTCATTGGAGTGTTTTGATCCAGGAATTCAATATAGAGAAACTGCAGCTGGTTGAAGCCGAGAAGAAGAAGTTACGCCAAGAGTACGAACGGAAGGCGAAGCAAGTCGAAGCGAGAAAGAAAATGTAAGCTTTCAATAGTACCAGTTATTCAAGTGTTGCTGTTAAATTCTACAATTTTGAGTCACCCTACTAAAGTAGTGATGTGCAGAGAGTACTCGATGCAACTGAACGCGTCTCGCATAAGGTTCCTTCAAGCGCAGGATGACGTTGTGAACTCGATGAAAGAATCCGCCAGCAAAGACCTCCTGCGCGCGTCGAGCAATAACAAGGCCTACAAGAAGCTTCTCAAAGCCTTAATTATCCAGGTAGTCATTGTGCTCCTACTTTCTTAAGCTTTTCAAGATGCAACTTTCTTTACCAGTTAAAGACTGTCGAGGAGAACAACATTTGCGGTGTTGCCTCTGTTTGACAGAGAAAACAATGTCCTATGATACTGTCATTTGCTGCGACAGTGCCTACTGCGTCTTCAAGAGCCGGCCGTGTTGCTCAGGTGCAGAGAGGTCGACCTGAAGCTGGTTCAATCTGTCTTGGACGAAGCTAAAAGAGCGTATGCCGAGAAAGCTGGAGTTGCACCTCCTGCCATCACACTCGACAACCGTGTGTATCTCCCGCCGCCTCCCAAAGGCGTGGATTCTCACGAGCCTTCTTGGTAAAACAGGCCTACCTTTGCTTGCAAATTTTCTTTCTTCTTCTAAATGTGGCAAGCGTTAAATGAATAGCTTAATCTGTTGGTTTAGAAATGGGAAAATCTGATCTGATGTAATTTAGCTCACATTTGCTCATAATTCCACTAGCTTGAAGAAAACTTTTTGGAATTCTTTGATGAGTAATCTTCTTCTCATCCAGGCGTTAGCATTGCTCTGATTCAAAAGAAATGCAACAAGAATTTTGATACTTTTTACAACTAATACACAAGGTGTTTTGAGAAAAATGTCTGACAAATCTTTTTGGCCACTGTTCAAAAGCTCGGGCGGAGTGGTGGCAGCTTCCCAGGATGGCAAGATAGTCTGCGAGAACACTCTCGATGCCCGTCTGGATGTGGTTTTCAGGCAGAAACTGCCTGAGGTATGTTTCGGCATATTGATTTGTCTTATTCTCTAGCTGCCCATGACAATATTAAAGCATTGAGAGATCAGTGGCGATACGCCTTCTGAATTCGTGTTTCCTTTTTCCCTGAATGCAGATCCGAAAACGACTTCTCGGGAATATGCAGACATGATTGAGCAAATACCAGTGAAGTTTACTCAAGGCCTTCATTCGGCATTTTGGATCCCTTATGTGAATCTTTAAATCATCTTTGAAATGGTTTTTTCTGCTCTTTTCACCTCCAAAACATGATTGCACTGTTCTTTTTGTTTCCATGTATGAGCGAATAACATACGTGTTTCCATTTTGCTATAGTTTATTTGCAAAGTTATGCCAGAAAATTTGGGTAGTTGTAAGACAAAAAGCAAGAGATGAACCCTTGAATTGACCCTATCATGTTGTCCGGAAAGATTGCTAGTTTATGCATATCTTTATCAGCTAGAAGCAGAATATCTCCTACTTCTACCAGTTTTCCCTTCCGACCCTCTGGATTTTCTACCCGGTTTCTGTTTCTTTCCTCCGGCCTCACCGTTGGAAATACCAATCCTCCCGAAGCCTCTCGAGATCGACGTGAACAACGTCCTTGTGATTCCAGATTTGTGCATCATCCCCTGCTTCATAAACATCTGCTCCTTCTCCAGCTCGCTGAGCCGCACCCTCATTCTCGAGATTTCAGACTTAAGCTCTCGATTCTCCCTCCTTAAAGAAGCGTAATTATCTCGCGGGGACATCGGTGCGCTCGGGATGCCGCTGCTTATCTTCTGTGAGAAAAACGCATCTCCTGAACTCCCGGACACTGCATTCTTGAGGCGGAGCTGCTCGAAGTAGAGGACACGGACCATCATCTGCAGAGGAAGCCGGTCATTCTGCGCAGCATGATTGCAGGCTCCTGGCGAGAGTTTCTGGCAGTCTATGAACTTGCAAAGCTTCTTACTTTCATGTTCAGTTAGCATTGGGTGTGCCTGGCAAAATAGAAAGGAATTAAGATCAAGAGGACAGATCAGTTTTGATTGATAGAAACTGGGAATATATAGGAATAGCAAGTATAAATGTGTTACCTTCAGATATATGTCGATCGCCCTATATAGTCCGTCATCAATAACGCGAGAATAATCAGGCAGTATCTCGATCATAGCACTGAATTTCTGCAGACTTAAATATGGGTCGGGGGCGATTTCAGCGATATATGACTCGATCAGTCGTCCCACTTTCAGTAATGAGCTGTGGCACGGGGAACCGAGGACGTCGGACTCATACCCACATGCATCATTTTCTTCTTCCTCTATCCGCTGAAGAAAATTCACGAGTATCCGATGAACCGTATCGATGTCGAACAAAGAATCACCTACCTGGACAGACGGTATCAACAGGTCATCAAGGGATACCATTTCAAGCCGTAAAGAAATCCGCCGCTCTAGTTCAAACCTACAAGCGATTGCAGCATCTACCATTGTCGCTATCCTCAGCATCCCAAACAAGAAACTAAGCGGGATTGAAGAGCTTTTCTCTGCCGGGAAAAGGCCTACAAGAGTTTCCACAACCAATCTCTGATCGTTTTCTCGAGTCCCAGGACTCGGTTTTGTTTTCGCCGAACTCCAAAGCTGAGATTTCTCAATGCCCTTCAGCGATGATTGAGCATAATGCATTAGAGACATGATGATACTATGGGGCCGAACGCCCGCCCTTCCCATCGCACGGATCACTCTGTCATAAAAGTCGGTCCGTAGTACCGATAAATCATCGATCCACCAGTCGAGGCAACCGCTTTTAAGTTCGGTTGAGCGGTCGTCACACTCTAACCTTGACAAGCCAGAAACCAACTGTTCCTTAGAAGCATTCATCGCTATAGCCTCCACACATCTATCAACAAGGCCCACATCCTCGGCCATAGGAATTAAGGACTCACAAGCAGATAGTACCTCCACTGAATGTTCGAGACTTTGAAGAACCACATCGTCCAAGTACAACTCCGTCCGCCCAATCAGGTTCTCTTCTCTGTAGTCCTCGGTCATTTCGAGGAACTCTGCCACGCAGCGAAGTTGAGCGACGTTGGCCGTCGTGATCTGGAAGTTCATTCCGTAGCAGAATTTCATTGCGAGCTCAAAGGTTTGGGGTCCGGATGGAATGTTGAGGAGCTCCAACTTGGATAAATCCGAATCTTTCGCCTCCGCGACCAGTTTTCGGATCTTCCCGCTGCGTTGAACCAGGGGAAACTAGACAGAGGAACCAAGTGTTAGAAACAAAATATGTCTGAATTGAGTACAAAGATGAGGCTCAAGCTCTCATGTGGTGTTGCTGAGCTGCAACAAGAAATTACAGACAGATTTATAATGAAAATGCAGATGCAAGACATTTACATCAACTTTCGACTACAAAAGTTTTTCTTCCTTTTTTTGCTTATTAAGGTGTTGCTCCCAACATTGTAGTGCTTACGAGAATTGCACATAATCATCATGAAGAATGTACAATCACATACTAATTTGACAACCTTAGGCAATGGTAATTTACCTTGTGAAGCAGAAAAGGCTCTCCATCAACGACGATTGTGATATCCCCAGCGACATCAGAGAAGATACTGTATTCAAATAAAACTTTCGGTGATGGACATCTCTTGTGTGAGAAAATCCAACATGCTATCAATAGAAAAGCCTGAACGCCTTAACTGGATACATTTAAAAGTGGCTAGATACACGAGGCAAACTGGAAAAAACTTCACTACAAGCAGGACGCCTGAATAGAAATTTTTCATGGAGCATGCGAGGCATGATAACAAGTACTTGCAATATAAGTTCTCGAATGTGATACCGATATCCAAGCAAAGTTATGGATGAGTTTCTGAATGGGCTTTTGGAAGCACAGAATGAAAGTTCTGTCAAGAAACATTACTTGCAAACGGCTGAACAGAAAACAAATAATTCACACCTAAGACATGTGGTCTTCTAGTGAACTCAAGTCCTAGAAGTCATCCGAACAAACAAGCAAAACGAATCAAATCATTTTAAAGAGCTTTTCAAGACATCTAATTAGCAATTGCAATACGCAATTTTGCTGCAAGCGCGCTTGCTCGTCATACTCATACCCACATTAGCGGTTATTTAAAGTATGAAACATCATTAGCGGGTGGACGTGTTTGTTACTAATTTAGGTGGCAGGCCGGTTACTTAGGTTGCCGGGAGTTTAACAGTACCCATCTCATTAACCCAATCGTTCGGGCCGGATTGTTTTTCTTTCAACCGCGTAAATCACAACATGATGGTTGTGTTTCACAATTCAAAAAACTAACAGAAAACAACAGAGGAAACCAGACCAAAAGGCCAATCTTGTTGATGATGGTATTGAAGAACAGCCAATTCCAGTCGGGGACTAGCACACGACAAAGTACAAACACTACTTCCATATGGGCCATGGATTAAAATCAAACCCAAAATATAAAACAGAACATTATAACTAAGGAACTTGGTCGTACATTAGACCCATTAGTTTCACTCTCACATTTCTACACAAACTCTGTTTCTTGAAAAGAACTTTAGAAGCTGAATCAACACCAGAACTCGAAGATAACACTCCAACACCCACAAAGACGCACTCTGAGAGAGAGAGAGAGAGAGAGAGAGAGAGAGAGAGAGAGAGAGAAAGTACCGAGTGGCGAAGGAGTGGTGGCCGGAGGAGACCATGTTCATCGCCGCCGTGAATCAAAGGAGGAAGCAAAACAAGAGCAGAGCAAGAAAATACAAACAAAAAGAGCGTATTCATGCAGAGTCTAATCTTGTTCTTCGTGGTCCCAAAGAAAGAGGCGCTTCTCCACGTTCTCATTCCCTCTCTGACTCCCCTTTCTCTGTTTTCCATAAAACGACACGACAGGTTTCCCACAGTTGGTGAGCCACCTTTCGCTTTTTCCCCTGAATTAGATAAGTCTGTCTTTGTCTCCTAGTGCTTTCACTCCCAACATTTCACATTCCACCCCTTTTTTCTTTATTGTTAACAAAGAATACGAACTGAATGTGTGTCTTCATATGTAGTATTTGAGTATGTCCGCCTGATTTGTTGTGCTATCTTCTAAATCGATTTTCCATACTTCGTTTTTCGAACCTCGCCCTTCGAGGAATTCTCCGCTTCGGCTCCATCTGGCGTGACCACCCGTCGCGAGAATATATTTCGTAGCATACTTACTATTTGCAAGAATATTATGATTAGAGCTATCAAACGGGTGGGTCGGTCGGATCAGGATTGGGTCGAGTCAAAAATGATCTGACCCAAATTGATCAATTTCCACGCAATACAAAACTAGTGACCTATATCCGATTCGACCCGCCTCATACCCAACTCGACCCATATTACTAAAATACTTATATATTTAACCACATCTAAGAAAACTCATATTCAAACCAAGGTGAGAGCATGAAGTGAGCGAGTGCAAGATCGAGTGAGGGTGAAAAAGAGTGAAAAAAAAGTTATAGAGGTAGATTTGGTCTACTAAGTCATGAACCCATTTAACACCCACTTTATTTTGGGCATTACCATTATAAACTAATTTATCGAATATAACTAACCCAGCCCATCAATAATGAGTTAAAAAATGGATTTATGACTCATCTTGACAAGTATAATTTTGATCAGCACGACTCGAAATGAAAGATGGACAAGGCGTACCAAAATAAGGTGCTCGAAATGATTTTCGTGAGTTTCTAAAAACATGAAATACAATTGTCTAATGCAAAAATACAATAGACAATGGTTGTATTTTAAGAATTGTCTCGTAAAATGATTTTTTTCACGAAATACAGTAGTTGTATTTCAAGAATTGTCTCGTAAAATACAACTGCAAATAATTTTTTTGACGAGATTTCGAAATCATACATGTCTTTTTCGTTTTCCATTTTCTTTTTGACAAAGAAAAAGAAAAGGAGGCAAGATTGAACTTCCCGTCGTCAATACCGGAGCGTGGCGATGGCTCGGAACTCAATAAAGACGCCATTATTGGAGAGATGTTGAACTCCTTCTCTTTTGCAGGTCACAGGGGAACGTGTCCTTTTCCTCTTTTCTTGTGTGGTGGCAACGTAGCGGGGAAAATAAGATGAAATTTTAAAAATGTATTGGTAATTATTTTGTTCTCAAAAGTAATTTTTATTTAAAAATAATTTTTTATTCTGTTTTGAAAAATAATTTTTAGGCATTTGAAGGCATTTGGTAACAGTCCAAAATTTCTATTCCTATAATAAAAAAGAACAAAAATACGTTTGTAACTGCATAAAATTTCTTTTTATTAATTTTAAATATTTAAATTTTTCTTTTTATCTTTTTTTCTTCTTCTCTTTCTTGGCCATGGCCGACGAGGGTGTCGTGACCCTCGCCTAGGCCGCGAGCGGTGAGGACCGCCCTCGCCGGCCATTTCCAACCTTCGCCCGAGTCGACGAGGGCCGCCCGAGTCGACGAGGGCCGCCCTCGAGGCTCACGGCTTGGGTGAGGGTGTTGTGGCCCTCGCCCTCGCCGGCCCTGGCCCGTGGCTAGTTGCCGGCGACCCGGCCATGGCCAAGAAGAAGAACAGGAAAGAAGAATAGGAAAGAAGAAAAATAAAATCTTTTATATTTCTCATTCTTGTTCTCAGAATCAAGAAACAACTTTTTTTTACTTCTTGATTCGGTTTTAAAACTGATTCTGGGAACAAATTTATGCAAATTTGTGTCCGGGAACAAAAAATTTATCAAACGGATTTTTGTTTCAAAACTGATTCTGGGAACAAAAAAAATAGAATCAGTTACTATTTGGCCAATTACCAAACGCACTCTAATTGTATTGGTATTGTGTTAAATTTATATTTTTTAAGGTTAGTACGGTGAAAAATCTCAAATTGGTATACCTGTGATAAATTTATCCCAAAATAATGTTTTGACTGCTAAAAACCTCACACCGATATACCTATGTTAAATTTATTATCTTTTCTGATTTTTTTTCTTCCTTTTCTTTTTTCCTTTCTTTTTCCTTTTGCCGGTGAGGAGCTGGCTTGGCCTTGCCTGGGCGAGGGTCGCCATCGCCCGCCAAAGGCAAGCCCCAGCGAGGGCTCCCCTTGCTATACCGGGCAAGGCCGAGCCTCCCCAAATCTGGCCTGGGCAAGGCCAACCCTCGCCCATCGCCATCCTTGCTCGGGCGAGGCTAGTCCGCCCACCTGTCGTCTTTGGCCGGTCACCGGCGGTGCCATATAGATCGACCGACATACACGTTAGTAATGTCCGATGAAAATTAGTCGAAAAGATTAAATTGACGCTAAGTTAAAGATGTTCACTCTCGGATGTGTGTGACAACGTTCCTTAAAAATTTCGAATCTTGAAATATTTTGCTCTATCCACGTATATCACGCTTTCTTTGTACTTTGCATTTCTATTAATACTTTCTTCTCATTATTAAATGATTCAAGGGTTTCATATTTCAATTACTTGCGCACATTTTGTTAGTATTGTGAACGAACGAACAAGCTCTGTTGGGCCATGGAGGCATGTAAGTTCGGTTTCTGTTACGAATGGTTCTTTTCACTATCCTCATGGTGGGGGAATGCGCCACTTTCTTTTCTATCTATCTGACCACATACATTCTCGCTGGGTTTTTTTTATCGTGGAGGTATTTTTTTTTTATCTATTCTATCTCTAATTCTTCTCACTTTTTGACTTTTGCTTTGCCGCTTACAAAGCGCGGGAATCGAACCCCGTACTTGTAATACTAACGTCCCCCCAACCCCTTTATTAGCAGGGCCACATGCCTATTGGCAGGGTGTGTTCATGTTTTGTAACTATGTTATAATTTTGGATGTTGCAAATTCTTTATCATTTGCTTTTGGAATGTGCTCTCAGCTTTGCTCTTTAAATTAGTGGTCTCTTCCTATTGAAGAAGCCGACTAGGGTTGTGTTACGTTTTGACCGTCTAGAGTGTCCATAGCAGTAGACCGATGAACATGAGATGAATTCATCCGTAGCTTTAACTCTTCACGTTGGGGCGTGTTTTATGTAAACTGCATGTAGAAGTAGGACGGTGCTCTTTTCTTTGGTCGTCGAAGGCTGTCAACCTCAACCTGCCTCCTAACGGTGAAGCTGACTTCCCTTCTGACTTATTGTCCCGAAAGAAAGGAAGTAATTAGCGTTAATACTACTAAAAATCTCAAATTAATACATTCGTGATAAATTTATCGCGAACTAATTTACCCTAAACTGATATACATGTGATAAATTTACCCTCCGTTAGTTTTCATTAAATTTTACCGTTAAATTGCTGACTTGGATAATACGTGGCAGTTGACGGGGTATATTAGTTTAGGATTTTGTCACATGTTTATCAGTTTGTAATTTTTTATGGTATTAATCCAATTAATGGAGGGTAAATTTATCACAAGTGTACAAATTTGAGGTTTTTTGTGATCAAAAAATTAGTTTGGGGTAAATTTATCTCGGATATATCAGTTTGAGGTTTTTGGTGATCAAAAAATTAGTTTGGGGCAAATTTATCACAAGTATACTAATTTGGGTTTTTCGTGATATTAACCCAAGTAATTATGCCTGATCATGAGATAGGCTTGAATAGAACGTGCTTTACATTGTCTTTCTTGAAAAAGATTAGAGGATTATGATGACTATCTTTTGCATGTGTCCATAGCACGGAAAAATGCTACTTGAATATGTAGAAAAGATGCCATGAATTGCTAAGGGAAAAAGGGAAAGCATGAATTGATTCAGAGGTTTGAAATGTTGCAATATTTCATGTATTAAAAATATTTTAAGGATTGTTAAGTGAGTGCAGGATATTCTATAGTGGTTTATGCTAGCTCGGGCTCTCCCAAGCTCATATTGATTCGCAATTTAGGTTCAAGTTCTTAATATACATGATCAATTTGTTTTTGGAGTCGCCACCAACCAGTTTTTGGTGACTCGATTAAAACTCAAGTAAAGTATGAAAGAGTACTTTACTCTTTTGAACCAGACTCTAAATAGATTCAGGAACTTGGTTACGCTATATTACTTTAATGCCTTTTCAATACTTTTTCTATTTTTTTTCAAAAAAATATTTGTCAGGAAACTAGGATTGATTTTAACCTTAGCCCACTAAAATGATAGAGATGATCATGCGAGTATGAAATCAATAAAAAATTACACTCAATACTCGAAGCAAATAAATAAATAAATTACTTGGGAATGTAAACCAAACACACCAAAATAATTAATTATTTGGAAAAATACCACAAAAAACTCCAAACTATGCCACTTGTGACATATTTACCCTGAACTTTTTTTTATGACACGAAAAATCCCAAACTATGCCACTTGTGACAAATTTTTCTTGAACTTTTTTTGTGACATGAAAAACCCCAAACTATGCCATTCGTGACCTTGCCGGAGAAGAAAGAAAAAAAAAGAAAAAAAGGAGAAAAAGGACAAAGACAAAAATGCTCATGGGTCAAAGTATTGTGGGGTAAATGTGTCACATATGGTATAGTTTGGGGTTTTTCGTGTCACAAAAAAAAGTTCAGGGTAAATTTATCACAAGTGGCATAGTTTGGAGTTTTTCGTATTACAAAAAAAAGTTCAAGGTAAATGTGTCACAAGTGATATAGTTTGGAGTTTTTTGTGGTATTTTCCCTAATTATTTTTTGGGTTTTCTTTTATCTTAAAATAGAAATTAACTATATGCTTTGCATGTCATGCGAATTGGAGTCTAAATTATGTATATATTACTTATTCTGACATGGCATGCAATTCTAATTAAGGGACCTAAACATGCAATCACTAAATGACACGGTATAGATGGCATGGAGTGTATGATGTGGCATAGGTGGTGACATGGCAGT